GGAGGGCCCCGCAGAGGCCCCGCCCCTGGAAGCCCCGCCCACTGGAGAGAACAGCAAGACCCTCTCCGCGAGGCCTCGTGACTCTCGGGCCGCCCTACTAGCATCCGCCCACCTGAGCTCTGCGGGCCTCCTGTCCTACTGCCCGAACGAGTACAGGAAAAGAACGTCACCCACAAACGCAGAACGGCGGCCCCTTGCCGACTGAGAATGTGCGTGTGGACAGCAAAACGGCGCGGTGCCGCGCATGAGGGCCGAACTCACCACCTCCAGAGCATGGGACTGACACACTCCCCGCTGCTCTAGTGAGGCTCGCGGCTACCCTCCTCCGACCTGGGACATCTTCGGGTGTATCTGCCCGCCTGTGGATGACCCCCAATGACACTCCCAAAGAATACTCCCAGGACTCCCGGGGGATCCCTTCCCCCAGAGCCCTCTCCGAGGACATCCCTGAGATGGCCCCGAGAACCTCCCACCAGAAGAACCCCTTTAGGATCTCCCCCTGAGGACGGCCCCAAGAACTGGCCCCCAGGATTCCCCAAAGACACATCTCCCCGCCCCCAAAAGACCTCTGGAGGAAAGCTTCGGGGCCGACCTCCAGTACTGCTTCGCTGAGAAGGCACAATTAAGTGGCGGGTGGAGCGATGCAAACTATTACAGCCTTCCGAGCTAGGTAAGCCAAACTCCGAATTGTGCCTATCAGCTTTCTTTTACCTAAAAACTGACATTCACTCATTTCTGCCCTTACTGTAGTGAAAAGGGGATATCATGCTAGGTGATGCATCCTGTGTCATCTATCGTGGTCTTGTTTTGCCATAGTTACCTTGTTTACTGTGCTCCAGGGCAAGTGCGTTCTAGAGAATCTGTAAAGCCACCTCGTGACCATGGCTTCACCTTAAATAACTCATGACAAGAAACTGTTCTTAGTTGTTTCCAAAGAGGGCCAGGGGTGTGGATACTACAGAAGCCGCTCTACAACTGGGTGGGTCAGGACTATGTGGTCAGGACTTACTTGACTTACTTGACTCTGGAAGAAATCCCCAGAGTCAAAATGGAAGCTAAGAATCCGATGGCCACCCCAGTCTTTCTGGTCAAGTGCAGGTTTTGCTCATCAAATAGGAAATAGTGACTCTGCCAGTTATCCTAGGTCCAGCCTCCACAAATTCCTAGCTATCCACTACCACCTCCATAAAGAAATCTCTAAGCAGAAAAGAGGGCTGCCTAACCTGGTCCACAGAATCTCATAAGTGAGGAAGAGCAAAATAATGCCTTAATTCAAATTTTGACCATCTCAGTTCCACACAAATGAAAAACTGACCTTCCTGCACCTAAGAGGTTTTTCATTCCATCCTTCACAGTTACCAGAACTCTCTTCTTTCGAATAGTAACATAAACAAAAGCAAGCTCATCCCATCACTCACCTATTTAAAAGGATTTAATGACTCCATTGAAACTTTATCACATAACAGAGTAGCTCCCAGCCTGGCCTCCTCTCCTTTCCCACACACATCTTTCAACAAGAGCCATCAGATTCCTTAGCTGAAACTCACCATGCATTGTCACATCTCTGTCACTTTACTTAAACTGCCTCCTCTGCCAGGAAGCCCCATCTCCCCAGTCTGTGCCATTAAAAACAACCCCTTTCCTCAGTGTCCTCAAGTGGCACCCCCTAGGGTTGTCCTTTTATTATAGCACCATCATATTGTTTTTTGTAAACACTTGCTTCCTTTGGCATTAGCTTTACAAGATGTATCCCATCACATGATATATGTGCTAACACTTCATGTAGTCAATGAATGTTTACTAAATGTTCCTTGAATGAAAAAAGGAACAAATAAACTGGCTAAAATGCTAAAAAGGGAGGAATGTGAGCCAAACAGAATTTAGAGAAGACTGGTGTGTTAATCACCATTACCACCCAAGCTAGGAAGTATCTCAGCAAGCAGAAATGTGTCGACTAATATAATATTTACAGAATGCCTGACTAGCCTGTGTACTGTGTTCTGCGTGGATCCATAGATTGTAAAGCATGATCCTTGCCACTGTTACATTTTAATTAGTTATTTTAAAAAATTTATCTACTCCCCACTAGGCCCTGTTACTAAAATATAATTTTCTCCTAGAGGAGCTTTGAGTATATTAAAACGTACAAAATAATTTGGTTAAACTTTCATCTTTAGAAGAATGGTTAAACTATTGTGTGTTTATAATTTGAATTATGTAACTAAGTATACAGTTAAAAGATTTATCTATATATTCTTGACAGCAGGAAGGCTGTGTACAATAATTCGATGTCAAAGGACTGAGTTAGTGCAGACCATCAGAACAGAAAGAAAAGGATGGCTGTGAGAGTTTGGGTAATCCTTGTTGATAGAAAGGAACCAGAAGGGAAATACTGTGTGTACAACCGAGAACTATTACCTGTTTAACCCTGAAAGCTTTGTGTCCTTGAACAATTTTACAGTCCCTTATATAGAACTGTATTCTTTTCAAAAGAACACTAAAGAGGGTGCATTCATATGAAAATGAGGAAAAACTAGATAAAAGAGATCATTTGTTTTAACACTATGAGATACATACGATAATGAACTCTTTGTTAGGACTGATAACATCTAAGGAAATAAGTAGAATACAGGGCAGGGCATTTTTCAGTTGGTTGCCTGGAAAGTCACCGAAAGCATTTCTTGGACTTAAGCAAACCATGTTAACTTTATTATGTGGTTCTCAGAATCCAGATGTGAAAAGTGGCATCTTACCCACTGCTCAGCAGAAATTGTCAAGGTGAATGGAAATAAGGAAAAATATTCAAAGACTAAACAAGAGGTTCATGGTTTAAAATGAGAGTCTGAACAGCTGCATACCTTAATAATCCCATATATAGGCAAAAACTGGAAAAACAGCAGTCCTTTGAAATTTGTTTAGAATTAAACAAGCAAGCAAACAAACAAACAAAAAACCTGTGGAACATCAGCCAGTTCCATTAGTTATTTGCCCATTTAAGAAATGTTAGTTATCTGAGTGATTTATGATGGCTTTCCTGCATGCACCAATTTGCTGCCGCAGATTTCTCAAGTGTTTCACCAGGAGAGGAAGCACTCCAACACAGTGCCTCTCTCTCCGCAAAAACTTCGGAGGAGCCAGTGAAGACATTCTCACAGACTACACCTATTGCATGTCAACTTCAAAAAATCTCGACAGAATCCTTTCTGAGAATAGCGCCTGCACGCCTCTTGAGCAATACTTGTTTGTTTACTTGTTCTGAAGAGCAAAGAGATGACACAGGACTGATTAGACAACTGGCCAATAGTGGCCCAGACAACCTGGAGAGTGGAATTTGTCTTCCAATCAGAAAGAGGAGAGGTGGGACAGGTCAGGCAGGCCTGAGGAGGTGAACTAATTCTCAGTGTGACTTGCCTTCCATGTTGAGTGTGGCAAAAATAACCCTAATGTGTTCTGGATTACAAATTAATGTTTCATGCCCCATTTAACAGATTCTTAGAAACAGCATGATTTACTACTATGTTACATCACTAATGCTGGGACATCATTCAATTTTTAGCAGTTATTTCCTCCACGATTTTGGTCATTTATGGTCATTTCGTGTTATGAAAAAAGAATTGGGGAGAGTTATTTAAAACGAACACTTCTCGGCA